TCGCGGGCACTGCGGCCGGGCGAGCCAGCTGCAGCCACGCGCGAAGGGCTGGACCTTTCAATTTGCGCGGGATCGCCCGACGCCCCTCCCAGCGGATGTGACGTCCACGCGCACCCCACGACGCCAGCTCGGCTTCCCGGAGCCCTGAGCATTCCGAGCCGAGTTCCCGCCCCGCTGGGCGTGACTGCGACCCACTGCCCTGCGACTCTGGCTGCCCACTCGAGCCCTGGCGGCCTCTAAAAGGTAAGGAAGGAGTTAGAGCTGCTGGAAGACGGGAAACGGCGTCTCGGAAGTTGGGAGGGGGCTCTCTCGCAAGGGCTGCTGGGAGTTGTAGTTCTCTCCTGACAGTCTCCGTTCCCGAGGGCTCAAGTTTGAAAAGCGCCCCCGTGTGTTTGTGGTTGTGTTAAAAAACACCGTGGAAAGAGACTCCGCTGGAAACAGTTCCTGCATCCCATTCACCACTCCCAGCCTACCCCTAATGTCTTTATTCTCGCTTTAAAACGCTCACTTACCTCTGTACCAATGGAAGTTGAGTTCAGTTCACGCAGGACTCTTTTTCCTGTTGCAGTAATAGTACTTACTGGTCGAAATTTGTCCTTGCCTCTTTACCTACTGTCTGGGTTCCTTTATCTTTGACATAAATCAGGGAAAATTTGATCTTTATAAACAAATGGTCTTTTAAATAGGCCTTATGGGGCACAAACTTTAAAACTATTTTGTACTTTCGTGGCCTTTTGAGGCTAGGTTACCAGTCCTCAAGATACCCCAGACTTGGTTGCTGTCTTCTCTCAGGGTTGTTGTGGTGAAACACTCTGTGAAGAACCATAGGCGGGACCACAACGTCTGTTTCAGACTCCATTTAAAGAATTGAAGGGGAAGAGAGCACATTATTTAAAATGCTCATTTGACTACCTTCTTTACATGTTTCTTTCATGTTTTTAAAAAGTCTTTTTATGATCAGTGTAATATCTATCATTTTACCTTCGATATTGTTGCAAAGTGCCACTTCAGGAGAGCAAGGCTGCTGCTTCTCCAGTTCTGGTTTTTAGAGCTGAGAATAGGAAAGGAGAGAAGTTGTCTCTTTATCGTCTTCCAGTGGTTGTCTATGTGTAGCTCACCCTGAACCAGCTTGAAGAGCTCTAGGAGAAAGTGTGTGACAGTTCCAAACTGCAGTAGGTTAGAGAGGAACTTAAATATGGGCAGGGTGTGTTTGTAGAGAAGTCCTCCTAGTCAGTGGACTACCCACCTGTAGTAACTGCTTTAATACCTCTAATCCAATCAAGTGAAAAAGGAAATAAGTCTAGTGAAGCATTTGAAATTAATTAGGCTTTGAAAGCTATGCAGCCTTGGAATTCCGGCTGCTTTTTACTATGATCTTTCAGGAGTTCAGAAAAAGCTGTCACGAACTGTCAGGAGTCACCTATCCTGTAACCTAACTCACATATTTTGAACTGTGGAATGAGAGATTATAGTCATGAAAGCCTAGTTAGTCTATGTGCTAAGAATACTAACCAAAGTAAATCCTTGAGAAGAAAATAAACCTGTCTGTCTTAAGGATGAGGAGGTTTGGCTTAAATTGGCCTCACAGAGATAAATGTACAATTATTTCCCACCATCTGAAATAATTGCTTAAGGACACATCTTCACAAAGAATTCACTGCCCAGCTGGTATTAAAGTACCCTAAGTTATCACAGACTGCAGGTTGTTCATTGTAATCCTATCTCCTCCTGGAAGCTTTTGTTACTAAAATGTAGGTGTATGAAACATCAAAAGCCAATCACAAACTTGTACTATTCTTGTGAACCAATGTTGTGAGTTCATAAGGGAAAGTAGACTTTTGAAACTCCTTCTTTCCCATTCTCCCTAAAAATGGAAATTCCACACTCTTCCATTTTGAACATTGGTTAAGGTTTCTGGAGTGTTTGGTCTTGGATGGCCCATGCTGTTTTTGCTGCAATAAACCTTTTAGCTTACTTGACAAAGCTTGGGTCAGACTTTTTAATTTCAAATTGACACAAGAATTTGACACCTCCATGCCATACATGGAGGTGTTCAAAAGCAGCCCTGAATTAAAACAGTGCTCATTCCAGCAACATTGAATCTATCATGAAACCAATATACAAGGTCGCTGAACCACACGCAACCCGTGTGTTTACTACTAATTCAGTTCTTGTGGGTCTAGATTTTTTTTTTGTTTTTGTTTTTCTTTCTTTTTTTTTTTTTTAACAGGTTTTTATGTTACGGTGCATGTGCTTAGGTGGGTGAGAGGGCTATAGAGACAGTGAGAGGGAAAGTGAAAAATCATCTCATAGGGGGGATAGACATGCCACAGTCCCTTCTGCATTCTCCTCTTGGACACACACACACACACACACACACACGTGACCGGTGTGAGTTGTTTGTTTTTTTGAAAGGTTTTTGGTATAAGGTGCGTACGTTCGCCAGAAAGACAGAGAGACAGAGAGGCAGAAAGTGAGAAATGAGCCCCCAGGGGTGATGGCCATGCTGCAGTCTCATCTCCTCCATTCTCCTTTCGGGATCTTGGGCATGCATGCACACGCGCCCGGCGTGAGTTTAAGCCACCGGGTCTAGGAGTTGAACCGCGGTCCACTACATGGGAATCCAGCGACAGCCTTTACGCCACCTGTTGGTCCCGACTTGCATGAGTTTTAAGCCATTGAGTCTGGGACTCTAACTGCATCTGACCACATGTGAGTCCAGCAACGTGACTGCTACACCATCTGCTGGCCCCTCAGACTGAGTTCTTGACTGCAGTGTTTGAAGACCGAAAGTATCTATTTAAACAAAGATTTAACTAAACAGAATACTTTTTCTTTGAGAGAGTAAAAATATTTGAATCAATTTTTGCAGTAGTTTATTACATGCCTTAGGTGTGTCTGTCATTGATAGGTGGTGTGGGAGACATAATTCTTTGTCTTAAAAGAATTTGGGATCTAATCCTGCAGACAAAATACTCGTTCATCAAAAAGTTAAGTCATGAATGATACGGGTGTGTTTTTCAATTCTGAAATAAATTATGTGCCCCATAAATTCACAGCTTAAGATTCAGTTCAGGTATTACCAATTCCCAGAAGTCTTCCCCAAGCTAGATATTTATTCAGCATGTACCTAAGCATCTCTTGCTCTGACATTTCTCATACTCTCACTGTATTTTAATTGACTTGGTCACCCAATGGTCCGACAACCCTTGAAGGCAGGGTTGCCAAAGTTAGCAAATGATACTATAGGATGCAAATTTAAATTTGAATTTCAAATAAATAACAGGTATGTCTTTAGTATGTTTAATGCAATATTTGGGACATGTGCTAAAACAAAAAAATCCATAACATTGTGTATGTTTATCTGGCAGCTTTTGCTTGAGAGCAGGGATTATGTCCATGAATTTGCACATTTCTGTTTTCTGACTGGAGTGATTTTTTTTGTTTGTTTTTAATTCCAGAGATTTTTTTCTATAGGGTACGTATGCTTTCCAGAGAGACAGAAAGTGAGAAATCACCCCCCAGCGGCGAGGTGGCCATGCTGCACTTCGTTCTCCATTCTTCTTGGGATTTCTGGCATGCATGCACACATGCTTGGCA